ATGTGTGAACACCATGCCTGTCTAGAGACCCTTGGTGGTGTCAGATCTGCTATGTGTCAAACATCTGCGCTGTATATGTTCGGTGCATGTTTGAACCGAGCTCGCTTTGACAGCTGTGAGCCACGACTTGGCTGCGCAGGAGGGCATGACAGACTGTCGTATGGCGAGTGGTGCAGCCTGACAGCGGCCCCTCTTGAAACGGGGACCCGAGCCAAGCTCAAGACCAAACAATACCCTACCCTGGTCGCTCACGACTCATGGATCTTGCTTGCAAGAGCGGCCTCTCCTCAGCCCTATAGGAGAAGCCACTGTTGTGGGTGAAGGACGCTGAGGCCAAGACCAAGAACCCACCCTGTCTCCGGCTGTCTTGGCTAGATGTACCATGCTGCTTGTAAGTAGGGCCAGTGCTACTCGAACCATTCCACAGTTGCCGTGATTCGGTGCATAATGGAGTGTTGGTTGGATCAAACTATCGCGAAGGGTCGAGCGAGTTGCGCCAAGACTTAGCCTACTAAGCATGGGGTCTCTCATATCCCCACACCAGGTCCCCTTAGCCGAGCGGGGAGAGGTGCGAATCGTGACAAATGGTAGATGGGATCTAGTGACCAGTGACTGGTCCCTGAATGGTCGATATACGTTCGAAACTAGTGGCCCGGAGCAGTAGCACCCAAAGTCTATCCTCAACTTCCTAGCTTCCCAGTTCCGAAATCTGTGACTTGTGCATATCCATGGAAAGGCATCGTGGGCAATCCTTGCTGGCCCCGTCCGCGGCAATTGTCCTGAAACACCGAAACCAAAACGAGATCACGTACATGAATTGAACCGGGACATTGATAGATAAATCGGATAACGTGCGAGTGATTGGCCGTAACAGAACGGAGCGAACCTCCGGTCTGATCCATTAGGATGATAGGCGGGATTCTTTTGGGAGTCCTCGTTGCCGTACATAGGTGGTAAGACGCACATCTATCTTCATCTGGTCAGATGTCAGTTTGCCAGACGGGAGACAGATACAAGTGACCACCTTGTTTCCGAGAGCTAATTAAAACCTGGGCCCGGTGTTTATTCTGTTCCTTTTTCCTTAAACTCTCGTAACGCCAATCGAAGCAAATTAATTACACCTGAGGAGCTTTTAAATCATTTTTGACCGCGTCCTCGAGATCGACTTCGGCCTTCGCGACTATCAATGCTCCCGCGTCGTCTTGTCTCGTGATCATCGTGGCGGCCGGCTGCTTTTCGCCGGGGACCTGGAGATCTCGAGCGTGATCTAGATGAAAAAGAGTCGTTGGATCGACTGCGGTATCGGCTTCCACCACCGCCACGAGAAGGAGGGGGACCAGCCGACGATCTGGAAGGTGAACGCGATCCTGGGCGATACACATCAGATCTGGGTCCGTACCGACTTCCTGGAGATGCTCGACGGCGACCTCCTCCCATGCCGTTATTTCCTCCCATGCCTGCACCAGGGGGTCCCCCACGTGCTCCCGCAAACGGCACTCTGGGATCAATGTTGGCTCCACGCCGAGCTGTTGGAGGCGCAGGAGAAAGCTTGCGACGGGGAAGTACTATGGACACATTGATCGCGGATCCATCCACCTGAGCTTCATGCATGTGGGCTATTGCGGCCTCGGCATCGTCCTCGTAGTCGTAAAGTATGTATGCTGTGCCACGGTTTGTTCCAACTTTAACTGGTATTAGTTGATGTCCAAATAAATGAGAGACGGTCATCTCACAAGTTCTGTTTATGGGAAGATCGAGATCCTTGATGCGTCCAAATTGCCCAAAGATCTCATAGAGGTGTTGCTCATTGATGTTTTTGGAAAGTCGCTCTACTACAATCTAGGCATACCAAGTCAGTTTCCGTAACCTAGCCATGACTATTCAAGACATACCTTTGTGCTCTTGGCGGCTGGGGAAGCACTCCTATCTCTGTCGTTGCGATCGCGATCGCGAGCCCCGCGGCTCCAGCTACGACTGCGGCTTCGACTACGGCTGTTGCTACGGCTCCGAGTGTGACTGCGAGATCTGTAACGGCCATTACGACGCTGAGGTGATGTGGAGCGGGCAGGTGACCGCGAGTTGTGATGATGGCGGCGTTGGGGTGAACGAGAACGTTCAGAGCGTGCAGCAGGTGAGCGCGTGCGCGACCCGTGACGGCCGCGAGATGGCGATCGCGAAGCCATTGGGGCGCCAAGGGCAAAGTCGGCCTCAGCTCAAAATGATGCTTGATATCGCGTGTTGACGTCGAAGGAATTGGCTTGAAACGCGGAATGTGGCGGTTGAAAGGCTTGTGGGTTAGCTGCTGGAGCTTTCTTGACAGGTGATCACGTGACTGGGGATGACGCGCCAGGGAGCTACCCACTAGACTAACGTCTCTAAGGCAGGTATTTGGGGTTTGGCATGCCCAGCTTTAACAACCTGCTCCTCTAAGCATATGGTTACTATAAAATCAAGCATTTCTGTTTTACTTGACGGGTGACTGGGTGATTTTAGCAAATAAGTCTACACATTCTCCTCCATTCGGGATAAGATAATAACAGTGCAAACGTCCATGAGCGGCTGACAGAACCTGTACCGCCTCGGAATAATGAATGACTACCTATGCATTGTCGATCATGACTGTGGAACCTGGCCCTCGGTTGACTGATAGCTCAGGTAGTCTACCCGTGGGTCGTTCCATGTCATTACTACCTCCCTGCAAGCGTATAACGTGGGCGGGAGTTGTACATAGCCGCGACCTTGCCTTGATATAACCCTGCACTGCACTGCAAGCAACCCAATCCTTCTCCATTTGAGGGCAACATTCTTGGGTGCACGTTCGATACCACGTCGGTTGCAATCAACTAGTTAGCCTACGCCCGTTTCGCATCCCATATCCATGTCTTGTCACATCTCGACTGCTTTGCCACGTTCGCATTCTTGCGGTGGATGGACGATACGGTACAGGCTTGGATGGACTGGCATCAGACATGCATGAATACTAGTTCGCTTCCTTGGACTGTGGCTCCGACTGCGCCATATGCGGCATCTGGTACGGGCTACGGCCCTTGCGGCGGTGAAATTCAACGACTTCGGGGGGTGGGTCGGTTGGGTTGTTGTCTTTATCCACCCATACGCAGCGTAGGCTTTGTATGATGCCTGTCAACACGTTCATTAGCAGCCTTCTCTTGTAACATGCCATTCCTTTGACTCACGCTCAACTTGAAACCATGCCAGCCGGCGGCGCAACATCTCCTCTTCGGGAGTACGGTTTCTGGCATCCTCGGCCATTCTCCTCAGCACCTTTTTGCAACGGCGGTGATCAAGGGCACGGACGAGGAAGATGACAAAGATCAGGGTGGTGAAGAGAACGCTGACTCCCACGATAAGGCCTATCTCGAGACGGCTCATGGGTCGAGACTCGGGTGCCTTGGGCTCCTCCCGTACGGAAGTGGCTGTGGGCATGATGCGTTCCCTCGCCGACGTGAGGCCGGTGTTGGCAGTAGAAGAGGTTTGAAAGAAACTTGCGGAAGAGAGATGACTCGCTCTGACGAAATGACTTAAGAGCTCAAGGGAGAGAAAGCTGGTTCAAGATCCACGAGGATGCACGTTGTGGCGAGAACCTTGGATAGAGAGCCAAGATATTTATGCACAGTGATCAGTCGTTGGTTGATGTTGATGAGCTTGCAACAATAGGAATAAAAATGCCATTGTGAGACTGATTCATCTATTCATCGTGAATTAACAATGAACACTGGTTGAGGGGATCTCTATCGCAAGGCTCAGACACTGCCAGCTGCCACCAGTTGCCAACCCAGCAGGATGCCTCACAGCCTAGGTGACCTTGTAATAAATGATGATTCCTGCAACACCTCTGTACTCCCATAGTTGAATTCTACAGCATACTCTTTCGCGACTACGAAAACGGTTTTACGGCACAAACTCTCAGTGTTAGTTTCATCCTCAAGTGGCAATAGACAGGATGAAAGAGTGAAGTGCTAGATGATTCTTGAGGTTAGAGTCAGCGGCAAAGAACGAGTGGAAGCTCTATGCTGATCCAACACTTATTCATACTATCGTTTGGAGGTTCCCTAACATAAAGATACTGCTGCTGCCTCAGCAAGCCTGCAAGTGTACTCACTCTTTGCAATTCAACTTACATTCTGCTACACTGATAATTCGAGAACCCAAGGAATCAAGTCCCGGCATGCATCCCACCTTACGCCAGGTTACTTACTGATTGATACGTCTCTCTCTGCAGTTCCCTTCGCTCAAAATAACCACGACAAACAAGCCTTTCCAAGGTCCGGTCTGACATCCTCTGCATATATGCTTCTTGACCCTTAAGAAGCCCCCATTCTCAATAAATACAGCCTCATGGACGCCTTTAGGGGGCCATTTTGACAGACTCGACTCTTCTTTGATGAAGGTTTCCTTGGACTGGTGGCTGGCGGAGTAACGATAGAATCACAGCAGGCCTCTCTATCGCTCAACTGACCTGGTGCCGTCTTCGATGGCCCATTATCTTTGTCATTTATGCTTAGAGGCCACTGTTAAGTGCGCTACTTTCCCTCATGTTACGTAAACGGCCCAGAACGTCTCCCACTTCGGGTTGGTGTCTGATGGGAGGGTTGGGAGTACCTGGCGATGACGAACACAGCCTGTGATTATAACTGTTAATTTGTAGCAACTACCTCATGAACAACAGTCCAGACAGTTCTCAGATTCTTCCAACCCACACTCAAATGCAAGCACCCAAGGTAGTTGTCTCCACAAAGACTTCTGATCTAGGAGTGGGCCAATGTGGTTTTGTGCTATGCTGTGTCCTTTTCTGACATCCCTTCTGCCTCAAACGGAGCATCGTTTGTTCCTCTCTGACTTTTGTTGTAAGCTATACGATAAGGAAGAAGGCCTACGTCCATAAGAGTCTGAAGGAGGAATGTGTAACTGTTTTATATTATATTGGGAATTTTAATCGCGAGATATCTAAAACCCGCAGCTAGGTGGTTTGGGAAGCTTGATCAAGTTCGGCTCTGAGAGGCATTTAAGGTCTCGCTGGTGGTCTTGGCAGCATCTCGAAGTCGAGATTCCAGGTTGTCGCCGAACATAGCACGGCCGTGTGCCTTGAACTCCTCGTAAATAGGGACCAGAGCTTCAGATCGGAGGTCGCATCCATAGTAGAAAAGAACATTGCCGTTCTTGTTGAAGGTTCCATCAGCCTTCTCGAAGAACCACGTTAGGTTCTCATCCTCCTCGCTGACAGTCCAGACCAAGCTAGGGTGGTCTTTCTTGACGGCAGCAAAGACGTTCTCAGCGACGTTGCTGAGCCATCCAGCCTTGGTGATATTCAAGGTAGCCAGTGTAGCGATAGGCCGCTCCTCATTGGCTGGCAGGACGACAGCCAGACACTGCATCCCATCGTCGTAGTAGGCATTGAAGTTCTTCTCCTTAAGATGATCGACAAAGCGTTCGACAGTGGCCTCAGCATCAAGGCCCTGGCGGTCGCGGGCCAGAGTCTCCTTGAACTTGGAAATATCTCCAATCTCATTGACAGAGGAAACCCGCTGGATCTTGTCCCCTCTACGAATGAGGGTACCGGCACCAGAGTCGGTGAATAATTCCTTTTGCAAATCGCTGGGGTGGATAATAGCAACGGATGAGCTGCGGGGGAGTGTGTCAAGTACTAGGGATGGTCAGCTATAAGTTTGCACAACTTCACTTCGGTTTCCGGACATTCTTTTATCTCACGAATTTTCAGTCGCGTCCCGTACCTGCACCAGGGCTGAGACATTAAATGGTCGAACTCGGCATCTAAGTTGATAGAGGAAATCTTCTCGCCATCGCCATCGTATAGTCCACCCTTTTCTGACAGATAAACAACCTTCAGGGGCTCAAGGGCACGGGCAAGCTCGGCAGCAGCGACATCAGCGTTAACGTTGAGGAGATGGCCGTCTTCAGATTCAGCCATTGAGGTAAGGACAGGGATATAGCCAGCCTCGATAGACTTCTCAATAGCATCTTTATTGACCTTGGTGATCTTACCAACATACTGCCACTTCTCCTTATTAAGATAATCGGCTATAAAAGCACCGCTGATCGATCGAGTTGCAACACCGAGCTCATCCAGTCGGTTAATAAGCTTCAAGTTCTCTTCAAGGAAAAGCTTGCGAGCGATACCCAAGGTCTTGGCGTCAGTAACTCGGATACCTTCTTCAAACTGGGGCTCAACCCCAGCCCGTCTGTGAACGCCGTGTCAGTATAATGTTGACCAATTCAAAGCAGTCGAAAGTCGCACTCGAGATAAGAATTCATTTGCGGGCCGCCTCCATGAACAATAATTGGGTAGAGATTCATCTCTGACAAAAACGCGAGACTTCGGCAAAGCTCGTCCAAGTAATCGGTAAGAATGGCACCGCCAACCTTGATAACGGCAAACTTCTGGGACTCGACCGAGGTGAAGAGCTTCAGGTACTGCTCACCCTCCCGCCTGCTGCCAATACTGTTGATGGTCTGCGCAACAATCTCCCGGGTCCTATCGCGGCCAGGCAAAGATGTGAGGGCCTTGGTGGTAGAGAGAGCTCGGTTGGCGTTGATGGATCGGAGCACAGTCGGAGCGGCAGTCTTGACATTAGAGCGAGCGACGCGGGGAGCGACTCGTCGGGCACCAGCCCGAAAGGCTCCAGAAGTGGCGGAAAACATCTTGCTTAAGCCAATTGACTCGACGATGGTAGGGAGATCGTGCAATGGACAGAGGGGAGGGATGAGGAAGAGAGGACGAGGACTGTTGACTCTGTTAGAGAGAAGATCGAGAGACCCACACGGCAAGATAAGGCCCAGGTGAGTCAGTGGAGACTAAAAAAGCTATAGGCACCTACCTTCAGAACCTGGGGTCACCTCCAATGGAGGGGCAGGGCAGGGCTATTTCTTCATGTATAACCAACTGCATTATGCAAAATTATTCTATGCTCGTATAACCGTGTTAGAAGTCGAGACTGGTCGTTGATGGTTCTGTTAATGTAACTTTCAATCCCTTCAAAGCTCAACTCGCAGATTCCTTAGAGTCATCGTCTCTAACCATCCACCATCGATCCGACACCGCTTGCAGACCCTTAGTCTAGCTGACCGGGGTCGCCTTGCTGGTCTCCATTGCATCATGATAGAATTTTTTCCTCAGTAAGCTTCATCATGAAAAATACCATACTCCAGCCGTCTCATCTATGGACGAGCAATCAATCTTTGCCTTGAAATTGACATCATTAGCCAATCTCTGCATTAAAAAATATCTACAGTGAAGCAGCAATGGTAAAAATGTCCCATTCATCCGCTGCAGATCTTTCTACCAAGGGAAACTCACCGAGGTCCAGTAACACGGCCACATTCTCTGATCCCCCCCCTCCTCAAAAAACTCAGATGGTGATGAGGCATTATCAATCAGTCGGCGTTATCAATCTACTCCTATCCACAATACCCTTGCACTTACAGAAACCCACTACCAAATGACGCCAACAGAGGACCCATGGTTCCGGTAGGTACATCGAATCTTGAACCTGTAAGGGACCTCTTTCGTTCATCCTCAACGGACAAGATGCCATATGTGCAGATAGGTTCCACTTTCGGAGCAACTATTATTCAAGACATGGTCTAGTCTACTTCATCCAAATACCGGCTACCCACGTCCCGGAAATTTTATCACAATCACCATGGGTTTCCATGAAACTGGAGCTTTCGTCGTGCGATAGGAATCTCGTGTTAAAGAAGTGGGCTAACAAGAAGGGATACTGTAAGAAATAGAGAGCTGACGCGATCGTCTCCCCTCAGAAATCATTAAACATCACTCGCCATTCCTATCTTCGGTCTGGCAAGCAGACTGCCACTTCGTTGCGACAAATGACGCAATACGAGGAGTTGAGTTTGATGACAATGATCCGCGGAAAGGTATACATCTCAATTAATCGGGGAACGCCTAATCTCAAACATCCAGCCCGGTCTGTAGTTCCAGGAGCATTACTGAGACCTCGTCATCAGTAAGTCACCCGAAGAGCGAAAACTGCCAGCATAACATTGACCGGGACCCAGCGTGAACAAACTCCATCGTGCTCAAATCATATTCCATTGCAATAATGGCCGGTTGCCCAAAAGTTCCATTTCCCATGGTCGTAGCTTGCGATATTCGATGTCGTCATGTCCCAGCGTGTGTATCGTAAGGACCAAGTGGTACCCAAACAGATGATTGGGCTATTAACGAGTAGCCACAACTGGGGAGGATTAGCAAGGTATTCAACAGCACAGCTTTGACAGATCGAAGACATACCAGAGGGGACAATGATGATGACCAGTAGAATGATGATACCGATAATCAGACACATTCGCATCTTCATATCCTTCCACCACATCTGCTTGCGGACTCTGTTGGCTCCTCGACGAAAACCTTGTGCCGAGACGGCCAGGTTGTCGGTCTTATCCTGAAGAGCATCGAGGCGCTCACCACGTTGAGAAACCTTGTTGATGTTGTCACGCATCACACCCACGGTATCATCAATTTGCTGCCGACTGTATTAGTTCATATCCAACACTAGAGACATTGCAGCGCTGGTGATGTTGAGGTGCGGCGTGGATTGGACACTGGCGTCGCCTGATGGCTGATGGCCACAATGTTACGAAAACTCATCAAGCATTGGAATACTGAGGCAAGTGGCGTTTGGTCGGGTTGCTCGGAACGGATATCATGATTCTGCGTAATTACTCTTAGGCCATTATCGCATGATTTGCCGGTGGCCGGTTGATGGTTCTTTGAAAAATTGCGATTCTATCGCAAATCCTTTGCGAATTACCAAAAGGAGGCGTCATCCGTCGTCAAACAGCCTCGTCGCCGTGTGTCGCAACCCATAAGCATCCGAAAAACATCAAAACAAACTTACAGCTTGTAGCGCCTGCGTCCTGGCATTGCCGCCAGCGCCCTGTTGTTGGGCTCCAGCTTGGCCGCTGGGGATGTAAGGGTCGTAGGGGGCTTCCTGCTCAGGCATTTTGGCTGTGGTTTGGAGATGTTCAAGACGCTAGGGAATAACAAAAGGGTATCGGTCGGAATAGCGCAAAAGGTTGGACAGTGCAGGAGAACAAGTTCGCGATTACGGTGCTGTCGTGTCGTGTCGTTGTGATATTCGAAAGGAGGAGGTTGGCGTAGCGAGAGGTTGGAAGAGGGAAGTTGATTGTGAGACGCTGCACTGGCCCAGGCGAAACAAGTAGTGAGTGACCAGGTTGCAGGTGAACCTAGGGCGGAGCTGGTTTTGGGGCGCTGCTGGGTGACGAGGCCCCCCGGGGGGCTCGGGGCGAGCTGTGGTTGCTTTAACGTGCGCGATTGGCGTCGTGGCCAAGAACCTAGGTACTTCTACATGATTCGAAGGCCTACAGAACATAACTTACGCTTTGGCAATCAAGAGCCTTTGTCTTTTCAGTTTATCGGGGTTCATTTGGTTGGTTCGTCCATTCTACGATTCTATTTTTGGCCATGACGGTCAATAGACGCCAGGGAGCACTTAGTCTGCCTAGTAGCTATGAAAAGTGCTGTATGTAGCAAACGTCCTGACTTGTCCTACTGCAAAGGCTTTCAATTCATTGTTCGCACTTACCGGGAGAGTAGTTGCACTGCAAAGTATTCGCGCAGTGATACGTTCCTCCTGTTGCTTTGAGTCACGGTACGCAATGCCTAAAAGGGTTATCCATGGAACTGGTGATGACAGACTCATGTGATGCTGTAACCCAAGTCGTCCCTTTTCAGTAAGCGTGGATGCTGCTCGTATTCGCTTCTACGGACAGCCACAATCAGCCACGGCTCACCTCAGCAACGGCGCCACATCCGATTCAATCGAAAACAGCCATTCATGCACTTCCATGGAAACACATGTAACGAGGGAGGTATGACTTGTATCGGTGCTGAATATTTCACCAGAGAGACTTGCTGCAACAAAGAAGCCGGTATCATAGTGGACTGACATAGTTATCACACCTAGGAACAATGACAGTCACAGATTCTCAGGGTGGTTGCTGAAAGCCGTCCACAGAAACACTCCGTTGCATTGTCATGAAACCCATCATGAAACCTTCAGGTCTGTGTTGGATGTTTCACATGTGGCTTTCAACATAGTGCCAACCAGAGACTACATTGAGCCTCACCCAACATCAACGCCAAACAATATCAGTCAACTTGAAGCCAGGGGTAGATAAGTGCTGTCAATACTCTATTTCTTGGTGAATACGTCTTGCTCTACTGCCCATACAATCGAGAAGGCATAGGCGCCGTTATCCATGATGTTCTGTCACACGATCTATGTATAATCGCACCTAATCTGCGCATAGACACGAGTAGAACTGAACGGCAAGCACCCTTAAAGCATGATTTGCTGAACGGGAAACATTCTTGATTTACATTGAAAACGCTGAGATAATGGAACCTGGATACAAGGGTATAAATATGGGGGAAGTGGTCATTCTGTCATCATCATGATGGAAGAGGCTTCCAGAATTTTAAAACATGCAGCTCATAAAAATCGACAACAGGGGTCGTTCAGATGACAGGATTCGATCGAAACATCGATTCGATCTGGCTGATGCAACACAACCGGCTTATAGTCGAGGCCGGGCTCCAATGCTTCACTAATTTTGTGGAAGAGGAGAAGAAGGAATTTGAAGCTCAACAAAATAGAGATCTATACACTATATGACTCATTCTCACGGCGACTCATACTTCAAGTCATCAACAACAAATTAGGCAACGAGTATCTGTCCCAGAAGTATACATCGTCCTATGTATGTATTGATGTCATGATACTGGATTGGACATAACAAGGGCTGATTATTTCGTCAAGCCGACCCTGGATACAGCTTTGGTTCGCGAGCTACAGCCAATCATCTGAGCCGGATCTCACTCCGACCTCGATCGTGTCCCTCCACATTTGAGTTGAGCTGCAGTACATTGTACGAATATGGCATACAGGACTCTGATCATTGGCAGATTATTTGGGAGGTTAATTGCAACAACGTTAAGGTGATTGGGTTAGAGACGCACACATTGATTGAGAAGTCTCGTGTATTTGTGTGCACACATTCCTTAACTACTTAACATAGCACTTCCAACCTTCACTCATTTGAAGGATGAAACATGTGAAAGGAAACCCATGTAAAACGCAGAGATTACTCATCACCGAATATCTTATCTGATCCCTTGCTTCCAACCAACTGTGATACTGCTTACTGTCTTTGAAGGTCCCCTTGCCAGTAGTATCACGAGTCCAAGCAATGTCCAAGAGATATCGCCAACTACTGCCTATTCCTCCCAACGAAAACCCGCCTCCCAACTCGCAGCCATCAGGATCTTCCTCGACTCCACGGTCCTCCAGCGATGAACCTTTGAAGCGGCAACGAATCGGAACACAGCTAGCATGCAACTCGTGCCGTAAGAGGAAGATTCGTGTAAGCTTCTCGAGAAAAGTGGCAGCCCATTTGTCCCTTTTAACACGATTTATCAAATAGTGCGATGGAAGAAAGCCCATGTGCGAGGCTTGTCGACGACGCGGCGAAGGGGAACCATGTACCTACGCCGAGGCTCGAGGTCCAGGCCAGACGAGTAAGGAAACAGAGCAGATTCTGGGGCTGTTTGATATTTTGAAGACAGCGCCCGAGTGCCAGGCCATTGATATTCTACGAGTCGTACGAAGCCAGGCAGATATCGATACAGCCGTGTCGATAATCCAACCGCGGATAACAAAAAACATCAGTGACTGTGAACGCTCCCCTGAGCACCCTCGACACCTGGGTCTTGAAGCGGAGCTCATGGCAAGACATTATCTCGCCTTTCCAGCCCTTCAACCTCTTGAATCTAATATCTTGAAGTAAGTTGACTGGATGGCCACTCGCTATCGGGCGACAAAGCCGCGTTACCACCAACTTTTGCTGACATTTAACAGGAAGTTCTTCAGCGGCAGCCGGACGTCGTCAAGCACACGAAACGACAGAGACACCCCGGCAACCAACGGTGACCCGAACCCGTTCCCAGCCCATGATCCTATCCAGAGCCTAGCAGCCACCCTAAGCTCCTGTGACGAACGACTAGAAGAACTGAACATTGGGTTTTGGACCTCTGTACCAATCGCCTCCAACTTGGCAGCAAAGGCCATATCGCTATATCTGGAGACTGACCACCCCTTATTGGGCCCCTTTGATCCTACCTTGTTTATGGAAGATCTGGTCCATTGCCGAGCCAAATACTGCAGTAAACTACTGGTCAGTACCGTTATGTATTGGAGCTGTGTAAGTGGTCTGGGAGGAGTGTGGTGCTCGACTAGCCTCGCTGAGACGACAATAGCAAATGTACAGTGCGGTCGACTCTACTGTTCAGTCCTTCATACCACAGTTTTGTGAAGAGGCCGAAAAGCGCTGGTCCCTTGAAAAGGCGACAGATTCTCTGCTGAATCTTGCTGCAACACAATTGCTGGGCTTAGCATATCTGGGTAATGGGAAGGATCACTACGTCTTGACATACGTTTCTGAAGCGAATGCCATGGGGGCTCGCATGGGGCTTTTTGGCGTCGAGCGAAACGTTGCGATTTCGAAAGCAAAGCAAGTGAGCTCCGAGCTACAAAGTGCGACATCGTATGCTGCTTGGGGGACTTTTAACTGGATAGTGTGGGTTCAGAAAGTCGAGATCTCGGACAAGATGCGATGTTAACATCCTCAGGCTTATGGCTTTGTTCTATCAACAACCTGGCCTCTCGTATCCCGAGCACCTCCCTATAGTCCCAATACCAGGACATGAATGGCATGACCCTTCTGGGCCCAGCCCCGAGTCTCATCAGCAGAGACCTAAGCAGACGTACATGGATGATACGTTTCCGATCATATGTCGATTTTGGAGAATAATGCACGAAGTGACATTGAAATACTATCGTGATCAGCCTTTCCCGCGCGAAAGCCTCAGCAGTCACATTACACTCGCCTTTGCGGAATACAAGTATCGAGAGTTAATAGCTTGGGCAGAAACACTGCCTCCTTCTATGGTGCGTTCAGAGCAGAGCCCGCATCATGTTTTGGTGTTTCAGTACGTTTCGAATTTCTTGCCTCTTCCCAACTATAGTCCTTCTGTTAAAGCTAACCGAATGGCAGTATCTGGCTCCATGTCGCTATTCTGTGTGTCCTTCGCCCATTTACAGTTCGTGCAAGGGACTCGCCGAAACCACTGCGACTGAAGACATTTCCCTGCAGGCGCAGCTCGCCTGACGCTGCATACAAGGCATCCGTGAATCAGCTCAAGCGTCTTGTGGTGGTATACCGAGAAAAATATGCATGTTCATCTTACACGATGTTGTGGCATACTGCTCTGATCCACATCGCCAATGCAATCCTAGGAGATATAAAGGATCCTGCCTGGCGCTTTTACCTATTCTTTTGTGTCGAAAGCTACGGAGAACTGCGACGAGCATTCCGATTTGCCGAAACCATCGGTCGTAGCATATTGTCCATGGCGCTTGAGCAAGGCGATCTATCCGCGGACGAAGCACGAAGACTAATGGTACAGTTTGAGGAGAATAGGCTGGCTAGTCCGTCGGAAGATATACGGGCGACGTTCATGGCTGATCTAAATCTTGCCATGACGGATCCCGAAGAAGCAAGTGTGGAGAGCCTGTCTGGCAGGTTTGAGGACATTGCACTGTTTCGGGAGTTTACAAACGCGGGCGACCCAAGCGAGGATGAACCAGTAGAGTCCGATGATGATACTTGGGACACGCTGTGAGACGGGGCACCCACTGAGTAGAATGGTCAGCACAAACGACCAGAAGAGGCTTGTTGAGCAAACGACTGGCTCAGAAGCTTCTTGAATGAGGTACCCCGAACAAGAAACCAGCAATGGAGTTGGGTTCGGACTCAAAATGATTAATATAGTAAGACGACGCATTACAATTGCCGTTGAGCATGAGAGGGAGGAGAAGAAGTGCAACATGTAGTACCATTTGTGCTTTGAACATGAGACAAT